TTCAGTATCTTCTATAAAATGCATTAGATGGTCCCTAAGGTTCATGTCAAGCTCTAACATTATATTTTGGAGGGTTTTTTTTATCTGTTTGTCTATTTGTCTGTTACAAGGATTAGTAACAATTAGTAAGTAACAATTAGTTACAAGTACTAGTTAGTAGTCTAAACCACTTCCCCCACTTCTTTCCTCAATAATCAGGCTTCTTGGATACCAAGAGGTGGCACCATGGTGGCACTGAGCCTGGAGTCAGAAAGTCCGGAGTTTAAATCTGGTCACTTCCTGTGTGAGCCTAGGCAAACCATTTTATCTCTGCCTCAGTTTCCTCAACTAAAAAATAAATAGGAAAATCCCAGGGTTGTTGTATCACTGAAGTAATATTCGTAAAGTGCTTAGCAGAGTACCTGTCACAAAGTAGGTGCTATGTACATCCCAGCGATTATGATTATCACAATTATAATAAAAGTTTGTCCCCTTCCCTCATAAGTGTGAAGAAAAAAACCTCAGTTTCCAAGAATAATGAATCGAGGGGCAGTTAGGTGGCACAGTGTAATAGAGAACCAGCCCTAAAGTCAGGGTGAACCTGAGTTCAAATCCAGCCTCAGACACTTACTAGCTGTGTGACCCTGGGCAAGTCACTTAATTCCAATTACCTCAAAAAAGAAAGAATAATGAATCAAAATAGAAAATACAAGGCGGCCTGCTTTCTTTGAGCAAATGGGCAACCTCACCAGTGGTAGCATTTTAGTGTCTTAGAATCTCTGTCCACCCCAAGTTCTCCCCTCCCCTCATCTTCCCCAATGATTCCTTCAACTGCGGTGCCTTACACGCTATTTGTCCTTGGCAAAGTTTGCAGCAGGTGCAAAAAAAATCCTAGTTACATCCTTTCTTGTATTAATGCCTTCTGATGTTGCTGCACCTGAGTCCTCCATCCCTATGTGGTTCTACCCTCTCATTTTATTCACTATTAATTCATGAATATATGCAAACATGAACAGATTGTTAAGTGCCTACTACATGCAAAACACTGTCCTCAGCTCTGCACATACAAACCCAAAAATGAACCCTTGAGGTATTTCTGTTCTCCTGGGTTGGGGGAGCACAGGACACATAAACAAGTCATTTATATCTTTTATTGTCCAGGATTACCTAGGCTAACTGCTGCATCCTTGCTCCCTCACCCTGATTCCAGGATAAAAAGACATACCAAACCAAGGCAATGTTTTGGATGAATAGAAAGCCTGTTAACAAAGACAGGAATTTCTCTGGGCATCTGTTCTATGAGATTTTTTTTTAATTTAATGAAATTTGTGGAAGCCTGATTAGTTCCTTTGAGCCATCTGTGCAGACAAGGAACTCTTTTCACTAAAGCTAAACCCCTAGTGGAAATGGTATTTGCTAAAAGGTGCGTACCTCCCTCAGATCACAGGCTCACAGATGAAAAGCTGGAAAGCCCCTTAGAAAGTTCATCAAGCCCTCTCATTTTGCAGATGAGTCAACTGAAGCCTAGAGACTTATCCAGAGTCATCCAGCTAATATTTGGCAGAGCTGGGGTATAAACACAGGGACTCTGCCCCCAATTCAAGCCCTTTTCATCCCAATTTCAAAAATTATCTATGGACCAGGCTACAGGGGGTGAGGGGACACCAAAGAATCATGGGGGGCTGGCTCTGCTAAGACAAGGGCAAAAGGAATCGTGAAGATGGAGAACCTTCACCGAAATGCCTTCTCTTCTAACATGCTTCCCTACAAATTAAGGGATACTGGTTTTCTTTTTATTTCCATATGACCCATCACTACTGAGGGATGGCAGAGTGAGAAGCAACAGAGAGGACCTCTGACACTCTTGTCTCCTCCCTCTGACTCTTTTTTCTCAGACAAGGATGAAGATAATGTTTTTGTCTTTAGACAAAGACTAAACCAATAAGCCTTCTTCGGAGGCATCTTAAACCTGGAAGAGATCATAAGCCTTAGAGCTGGAAGGGTTTCTCCACCCCTCCCATTTTACAGATGAAGAAAACTAAGGCCAAAGAGGAATGAAGGGATTTGCCCAAGATCACACAGGAAATAGGTGGCAGAGCTGAGATTCAAACCCAGATCTTCCTTGACCTCTTCATCTGGTCCAGGCATCCTTTCTATAAAATCTTCAGCCCTTTCAGCCTTTTCTTGAATGCCTCCTGTTCCAGGGAACTCCCTACTTACTAAGCCAGACTGCTTCCACTTTGGGACAACTCTCAGTGTTATATTAAGTCTAATTCCTCCTCTGCAATATCTACCCATAGCTCCTGTCTCTGCTTTCTGGTGCCAAACAGATTAGAGCAATCGTGTTGACCCAAGCTGCTCTCATCATTTCCCTTAGAGACAAGATACTGGGCTGAATCCTATTGCTAAGATGCTACTAAATACAGTTTTGCCCCTGGGAGGAAGATATGATTCAATGATTTTGAAGCATTTACTTCCTAGAGATGCCTTAATAATGCCATTCTTTTGGAAATACCTTCAGCACTTCTTAGGCTATTTTGATTATATCTTTTGTTATCCAGTCAATATCTGAGTGTATCTTAGAGAACAAGGTAAGAGAGATTAATTCAGGCTTGCTCCCTACACACTACAGCGATCGCTAACCTTTTCAAGAGCCATGATTCCCTATCATTGCTTGCTTTTAATGACATTTCCAGTTCTCCCCTTCCTTTCAAGGCACACCTGAAAGTCAGTGGGCATCCCCCCCCCAAATTCAGATCATAACCCATCTAAGCCTCTGTGAATCTTATCCATGTCCCCATAAAGGACTGACTCAAAGCAATGGAGAATATTCTTTTAGTATTTCAGCATTTTGTGGGTACCTCTGCTGCACCTCAGCTGTCCCTCCCTCCCTCTCAGTCTCATTTTGTGATCAGCCCAGTTTCTTTTCTGATCACATGTTTCCTGGATATCTTTTCAATCTTTTGTCCTTCCATCACCTTTTGAGTCAACCATAACAGTGATTCTGCAGAGAGTGAACTATCCTATATGTGGTATATTTTTTAAAAGTTTGAGTGGATTAAAGCAAATTTACTGTTAGAATTTTCACAAGGCCTCTTAAGAAAACTGGAGAAACCATGATCCTAGTGTGGGTGGGAAGTTGAACTGTATATGTAACCAGGAAGGGAAGAAACTCTCGCATTCATTAAGTGCCTACTGTGGCCAGGCACAATGGGAATTATGTACAATGATTATCTCATTTGATCCTCACAACCTATCCTAGGAGATAGGTGCTATTATCCCCATTTTAGAGATAAGGAAACCGAGGTGGACAAATGTTAAGTGATTTGTCACAGCTATTAAGTGTCTGAGACTGGATTTGAATTTAGATCTTCCAGACGCCAAGCCCAGTACTCTATTTATGGCACCACTTAACTGACTATAAGAATGTAGGATAATGGAAAGATTCCTGGCTCTGGATTCACAGGGTCTGGGTTCAGATCCTGATTCTGGTGTTTACTATCTATGGAAAGCCTCTTTACCACTCTAGACCTCAGTTTTCTCTCCTGTAAAATAAAAGAGTTGGGCCAGATTGCTTCTGAGATCCTTTTAGGCTCCAAATCTATGATTCTAATTAAAACAAACACCAATGCTATAAGAACTACTGTTCTAAGTTAACATCTCCTAGCTCATACGTACTTCCTTTTTTATGCGGTAGTAGACTTGATAAAATTTGTCTAAGTTAGATTCTCAAATACAGATTAAAAATTTAAATTCTCCTCATTCAATTTCATCCCCAGTTTGAAATGTCCAAGCAATAGCTCCCGTTTACCCCAATTTTATTTTTAACTCCTTATTAAAAATCACTTATGGGATTGTCCCAGCAATTCAATATCCCAGAGCTAATCAGGGGTTCTGGGCAGGTGAAAGAAGGGATTCTGGGCCTAAATACCATTAATTCACAATGCAACTCTGGCAGACAATTCACTTAATTAGGAATCTCTACACCTCTCTTTCTCTGCAAGTTTATGGACCCTTAAATTTGAATATGCTCTGAAATTTTTAGGTGGAAGGGAAAAGGCAGGAAGGCCTCAAAATTCACTAAAATACCAGATACAGTGTATAATATGTAAAGACATATATAGTTACATATACACATATATACCTATATATATAAAATACATATATGATACATGTATATCCAGATAGTTTTAAATGTTACATATGCATGTATATGTATGCTTATCTATTGCCTAGATAGTTTTACATATAAATATATACTGCATACATATAGGTGTGTATAAACATATCTGCATAGGGACTTGTGTACAAATACTCCTTGATAAAATGTTATCATCTAGTTCCTTTGAAAAGATTTCCAGTTGATAATACAAACCTCGGGTCTTGAAAGTAAAGATCAGTCCATTTTAAAGTCTAAAAACTGTACTTATTTCAAGTGAAATTACAAGCCAGAACCAAATGGAAAAATCATGCATTGCTCAATTGTAGCATCTTTTGAGAAGCAGAAGTCGTGGTCCTACCTTCAGTGGCATAAGCTCCCAATTTGTTGCTTATAAGTCAAAGATACTTTTGGGTATCTGGAGACAGTAAAGCATCTTTGCTAAATACTATCATTTTTTTCTTCTTGGTTCCTTCAGAATAACAGCTGGCAGTAGTATGGGACAACCAAGCCAAAAGCAGGCTTGGTGTGTCCTTGGGCAAGTCCCTTAACTTCACCTAAATGAAGTGGGGTTTATTTTCCTCATCGGTAACATCATGGCGGGGGATTTGATGATCTATCTCTAAGTTACCAAGATCTAAATCAGAGATCCTCTGATGGGGCCTACTTCTACCCCCACAAAGTGTCTATTTTTCCATTTGCATGTTTTCTTCCCCCATCACCCACCCCAAACTAGCATCTGTAACACAAGGCCTTAAACACAGTTACAAACCAGCTTTCTTTGCAACATTTATCCTTAGAGCATCAGGGCCCCAAAGTCTTCTCCCTGAAGCAAGTCTCAGGCCCCAGGGCCCTCTCTCACCAAATTCCTGTAGCAGCTTCTCAATGGGAGTCACAGGTTCTCTCGTGGGGGGAAATCCCCCCACACTCTTGCTCCTCTGAAGTTCAGATGCTTCAGTGACCACTTTGTGAAGTCCAGGGGCCGCGACAGCGGGTGAAACCCCTGGGATGAGTCGATGTTGTCTGTGTACTGTCTCCTTCTCCATGATTTGCTTCTCTTTCTCTCTCTTTTAAATCATGGGAAAGAAAAAGTCAAAGTGTGATGTTGATTCTGAAAAAAAAAAATAAACCTCAGACTGGAAGCATGGTTTAGAAACCTCTCCTCTGGGTCCCCGCCCTAGGGAAGTGGACCTTGGCAAAGTTATGTCAGGGTGGGAGGCCCACCCATTGCTATGTGTCCTCTGTGACATCACTTCAAACAGGAACTGAAGTCAAAAGTTGCTCTGGCCTTAAACCACAATACAGCAAACACTGGATTATCCAGGAGGTGAACGAATTATCCAGCTTGAATATTTATCTGTGATTGTGTCATCTCCCATTCCTCTTCTGTCCATTTCAGATAAGTCAGTAATTGACAGTGTGGTCCGGTGGAAAGAGCCAAAACTTTGGGGTCAGAAGTCCTGGGTTCGGATCCTGCTTAATGCCTATGCGACTTGGGTAAGTCAAGGCTGCTTGGCTGTTCCCTTCCATCTCTAGATCGATGATTTTTTAGCATCCTTACCTTCATTCAAAACTCAGCTCAGGGGCTGTCTTTTACATGAGGCCTTCCTAAGCTCCCTAGCTGTTAGTGCCTCTATTGCCTTGTATTTACCTTGTATATATGGTATATTTACTTATATGAGTTGATGAGCTTATCTAAGCTAGCCCTCAGAGTATGTGCAGATATTTCCTGCCTGGTTCTAATTCATTTACATGGAGACTCTGGAGCTGTCTTATGAGTTAAAGGGCTTTGCAATTTGAAATGCTTAAATGTCCCCTCATTGGCTGCTGAGTTGGAAGAACTGATGAGCTTTTAAAAGGGGAGATAGCTTCTGGCTGTACCCCCTTAGATGTGACTCTCCAGGCAGTAAGATGTGACTCCAGCGAGGGGTAGGAAAGACAGGATTTTTTTCTCTACCTCACTATCACGGCAGCCTTGCTCATCTGTCAGAACTACAACTAGGTGAGCTCGCACCTGGGTGCCTGGCAGCCCTGCCTCTTTTTGCGTTTCCTTTCCTCAAGCAGCTGACCGCATGACCTCAAAGGTTCTGGAGGTTTGGGAGTGGTGGCTTCTTCAGTGTCTACTCTGTTTATGCTTACAGCGGGGGCTGGGTGGGCTGGAGGAATTTGGATAACATCTTCCTGAGCATCTCTCATTTCCATGGCAACACAGGCTGTTATAATTGAAGGCAGAGACTTTAATTTTTTGGTTTGATATCCCCAGGGCACAGTTCGGTGCCTGGCATATATAATAAACACTTAATGAATTCTTGTTAATTAACTGACTGATGGTTGTCATAACTTTGATCATCCTGAAAGTGTACCTACAGTTATCTCCCCACTTTGTAATAATTATACTTCCATGGATATGTGATTTCCTCGATGGGGGTATTCCCCCCCAAAAGGTGGAACTCACAACCCATCCACATCTTCTCATCCTGTGTGCCTTTTGCGTCACCATATAAATCTATGAAGGGGATCACAGAGGTACCAAGGCCCTTCTAGATAACTTGATATTGCATGGATAACAATGAAGCATTTGGGCTGTTCTTTCGTTGACCAGCCCACCTCTTCTTCCAGTCTCATGAATCTCTTTGATAATATCCTTAATGCTACTTGTCCTGAACAGTTTTTGTTGGTAATGCATTCCAGCCTCCTCATGCCCACATGTGCTTTTCTTTAGTCTTGTGTGTAGCTCTACAATTTTGACTGTGGTATTCCACAACTCGTAGTCATATAGTATTACTGGAAGAATGCTGATGTCATCATAATGGTAAGGTATGATGCTGCACTCTATGGAATTCAAAATAACTCAAGTGGGCTGATTCCTGTATTTACATATGTAGATAAGAGGTGACCCTACAGTGTTAATGTAAATACTATGAATGGATGCCTCCATACATATTCTGTTGACTATCTCTACTTTGGATAACTTGGGCAAGAGCTTTATTCCTTTAACCTGAACAGATGAAAGAAGATAGCACCTCTGGTATTAGAATCTAAAGCCACAAAGGTAGCTGGGCAGTGATTTAATGAAATTCACTAGGAACTTGGATCCTGCATTTTAAAAAGAAAGCTTTAGAAACAATCTCATGCTGGAGGATTGTAGAAGATTGTAGATAGTAATCATCTCATAAAATGGTGAGAACCAGTAGAAGAAAACAAATATAAAGAAATACTAGTGAGAGACAAAACTAAGCCAGGTGATCCTTAGAGCGTTTAAGGATAATTAGTATAAAGAAAATAATAAGCAGATTAATAAAGGGAAAGATTTCTATAACAAATCCATTTCTTTAACAGTAACAGTAGAGCCACCTACATTGGGACACTTAGCATCATCATTCTTAATGTGTTAACATACAAGGAAGCAGAAATAACACTAAAGAAGTCAAAGATGGGAAAAGTAATTAGATTAGACCAAATACACACACGAGTGTATTGGAGGCCACATAATTTTGAGGATGCAAGAGATTATTAAGATAGCTGAAAAAATTAAAGGATACAAAATGCTTGAAAATAAATGTTGATATTATTTTTTAAAGGTACTTAAATATCAATAATTATCAACCCCTATACCTACTTTTGCATCTCTACAAAATACTCATCAAAATAATCTACAAAATCAAGGACGTCCTTGATAAAGTATGAGAATGGGATAGATAGGCTTTCACAAATGCTATTTCTATAGCAGACTTCATCAGCTGAGTCAAAAAAAATTTGTAACAAATGCAAAATCTCGCCAAGCTTATTGTTTGTGGAATATAAAGAAGTGTTTTGTTTGTTAGAGGAAAAACATTTCCCTAGAAGTTCTCTTCTATCAAGGTGTCTCGCATGCATATATCACAACTATATATGATTCCTTGAAAGATATAACTATACAGATAACTTTGTCAGATGCACATATAACTATTAATATTATGAGAAGCTTAAAATAGGAAGACATATGCTCACCAAACAAAAGATATTTGCTATTGTTATAGAAACTGACCTGTATAGAGATCAAATGGAAAAGGAACTCCCTATAGATTGGGCAGGTCTTCCAGCTATCCCTGATTGATGATGGCAAGTCTTAGAACATTGTAGAGCCTTCTAAATGAAATTTTTATTCATTCAAAACAGATTGATCTAACTACCCACACAAGAAAATAACAAGTGGATGAAGAATGAATATTGTCCAGATTATATAGGCATGTAGTGGAATGAACCACCTATATAGCTGATCCATGAGCCATAGTTAGATTGGCTTAACTGCAAGCTAGGTACATCAGTCCACAGTTAAGCTATTAAGGCTTCACATTGCACTGAGATTTCTGGGACACCCTGTATTGTAGACAGACATCAAGAACAGTCACAGTTAGACCAAGAAACATTTATTACTCTGCTGTCCCTTTTATCTAATATTTTTCTTTTGAATAAGGTGAAGCCATCAAGGTTGCAGACTCCCCCTGTACAGCTGGGAGACTGTTTTCCCCTTATAATTTTCTGTATCTTAGGCACCAAAGAAAGGTATAAGGAAAGGCATAAGTGGAAAAGCTTAGTCTTAGACCCTTCTAGGTCAGGCAGAGTTGCAGGGTCTGATGAGATTACTAAAAAAGGCAGACGTAGCACCTTTCTTGCTCTTTTGAACGTTCATTTTTGGAGGGCATATGTTGTTTGTTTGTTTGTTTTCATTTTGAATGGTGTCCCTAATACGTGGCCTCAGTTCCATGAGAAGATATTACAAGCACATGATAGTAGGTGGTTCAGGTAGAAGGGATTCAGGCTAGCCAATGGAAGTATCTAACAGCTTCCTGGGACATGGAGACAAACAGACATTCATTTGACACCTCTACCAGGAGTTAAGTTCAGTTTTTATTGAGAGCAGCAAAATGAGGGAGCTGGAACAAGGTGAGATGATTCCCCTTTCCCAATGTGACTTTGAAAATGAGATTGCTGAGATCATGGTTTGAGATATCCAGAAGGAGCACAAGTGCTCAAAGGATCACAAGTCAGGCAGTTTATTACACACAGACATACAAAGGTGATAATGATGTCAACAATCATTTCCAAGTCATCCCCAGTCCTTCAGTCCCACAGACTTAAGCATGGGTGGATATAGTAGAATGAGTACTCTGGTTGAGAGCACAGAACTCTGGTCTTTGCCCTTATGTCTGATTGTTATTACTGCACAGACTCGTAGGGACCAAGTGGCAGGGAAACATCAAGGACAGTCAATTAGCAGGTGGCCTAAACTATGACCCTCCTCCTTTAATCACAAGGGCATTAGGATTAGGAAAGTTTGCTAACATTCCATGCTTGCCTTAGATGAAGTTTGTTAAACTGATTATGATGAGGTGAACTTTACATTTCTTGCCTAAATGAAGCTGACTAAACCAGTTATTGGTACATAGGCAGGTTAATCAGTGGTCAAACATGGGAGTCACTTCTGTTAGCAACAATAAATTGCTTGACAGTGGTCTTCTAGAAATGCCTTGGGATTAATGTGGTTCATTATTTCCTGCAAGAGCAAAGAGGGTGGAGGAGTGTTGAAAATTCAGTCTTACTATGAGCAGGTATGTTCAACCACTTTGGAGCTTATCGTCATTGGAAACACATAAAGTATAAATTTATATATAAATAAAACAAACATATAAATATATTCTAGCCTAAATACAGATTGAGTGAGTTCTTTGGGGCAATGCTAAAGAGGGAAGAGATTGGAATACAATGGATGGAGCCATGAGCCACAAGTTGTCAATTGTTACTGAAATATCCACACATCAAAATGGCAATATAGAGCCCAGGAGTATTAATGAAAACTCTAGTCTGAGTATGTACAGTTGCTAGTGAGCTGACAACTTGACACTTGGATCATTAGACACTTATGAAGTCTATGAATTTGAATTTACAGCTCTCCCTTCCACATCTTGACTCTTCCCACTGCAGTTTCATTACATCATGGGTCAGCATAAGAAATTAAATGGGAATTCGGGGAGAGTTTTGCAGAAGCCTCATGTGCCACACGAAGATCAGTAGATGACGCAGAAAAAGTTCAGAAACTCAGAAATGCATAAAATGTACACATAGTGTTGTATAACAGCAACCCAAATTTTACAATAAGGTACTGTAAACACCTCATAAAAGAAAAAGAAAAAATTCAGACTTCTTCTCTGGGATGAAGGGAGGGCCAAAAAATATTATGCAGATTTTCCAGATCATGGGAGGGCTATGGCCTTAACCTCTGTGATGTGGAAGGGATAACTGTACTTCCTTGCCCTGAGGTCTTCAGTTCAACTTGTTCATCATATGTCTGGGACCTTGGATTTTATTGCTGGCTTTCTTCTTGGATATTGTCTCCTGTGAATTACTGGTCCTTTCTCTTAATAATTTTCTTGCTTTGCTGTCCATGTTTTTCTCTGTGACATATGACTTAGCAGTTAGATGCTATGGACTTGTCCAAATGGTATTTAGATTAGCTC